AGATGATTGTGTGTTGTTGGTGATTATCTAAGAGAATGAAATTGGCCATGGTGGTGGTGATGGTTTAATTCTTTTTTTCCCTTTCTTCTTTTTTTTTTTTCTATTTTCTTAAAAAAAAAAAAAAAAAGGGAATTCATTCAGGATAATTACTTCAAATGTTTTATTCATGCAATTTCGATGAATAAATTATTTCAATTGAATTGAAGAAAATAATTTCAATCTATATTTTAAATATTGGTATTTTTTTTTTTGGATCAGATGATTGTGTATTGTTGGTGATTATCTAAGAGAATGAAATTGGCCATGGTGGTGGTGATGGTTTAATTTTTTTCCCTTTTTTTTTTTTTCTATTGCCGAGTAATTCTTAACGACGAGAATAAATTCTTAGCTTGAAATTGGATACGATAGGTTAACGTAGGAGGGTTTCGGGGGGATTTCAGAGAGGGGGGAGGGAAAGGGATAAGAAATAGAGAAGTCGATGGTAAGAAACCATGTTTCTGTATACCTGTATATATATATATATACCTATACCTATCTATATCACCTTGGTGATACGTATTCCTTTCTTGAGAACTAGCTAAGAAGACCCAAAGGCACATTCATCCGTGAGCTTTTAATTTTATCGTCCTCTCGCCATTCTATTTGCATTCCATCCATCTTTCTCACTTGGTAATCTTCTTCCTTCTACCTTCGTTACTTTGATAAGTAGAAGAAAAAAAAAAACAGGTAGAAAAAAGAAAAACAACAGTTAAAAGTAATTGCATTTCTTTTTTTTCTTTGTTCTTTCCTATTTCTTTTTATTCCCTTTGATATATTTCTATAATATTATTTTTATATTTTGGTTTGTATGCATCTCGTATGTGTGCGTGCATATTTTTGAAAATGGGTTGAAAAGTTTTAATTCGTACATAGTAGAATTTATTTCTTTTTATTCTACGATTTTATTTTGTATTATTGAAAAATTTTTTCTTTATCTGACTGTGAGACTCGTAATTTTTTCAACCCTTCTTCTCATATTAATTATTAATATTTTATTTGTATATATGGTGTATTAATTGTGATTATTATTTTGAAAAGAAGTTTTGAGCTTGACACGTAGAAATCATTTTTTTAATCGTCAAACAAAAAAATTAACATCGATTTATATTATTTTATTTTAATAATTGTTTTTTTTTTCAATTTTTATACAAGCACGCTTTATATTCTTATTTTTCTCACGAAGAAATACTTTTTTCGAGATCAAACAACAACCAAAGTTCAATTTCGTCGTAAAAGAAAATTGTTGTTTTTTGTTTTTTTTTTCGGTCTCAACGCGAATCGATAAACATTGATTTTTTGATTGAAATTTTCCGTGGAAAAATTCGGAAAGAAAATTCTAAGAGAAATTCTAAAGTTTGTTTTACCAAAGTATATATAATAGTTTATCGTGAAATTAATAATAATAATAATAATAATAATTCGCGTATACCTGAACTAAGGTGAGTGTATTACTTACATGGGGAAATGTAATGGGGTATACATACCATCTCTCTCGTTTGGATGTTAATACCTCGTTAAAAGTTCTAATCACCGAGATTATATTCTTGAGTCTTCCCCCCATAACTTCCCCCCCTTTCCTCTCCTCTCCTCTTCTCTCTCTCTCTCTCTCTCTCATTCTCTTTTTTTCTCACACGCGTTGGCAAATATTTGGCCACGTTCGAAATATCGCTTTGATGTTGTAAACGTTGCCATTGGCAGGTTGCCCGAAAATATGTCGAAGGTGTATAGGAGCATGAAATGGTGTATTAGAACACACCCCATATGTTATAGGTGCACGAATTTTATTGCTTAAATCGAAAAAATAAGATGCGTTACTTCCCCAACGTGAAATTCTCGCGTTTTCATTTTTTTTTTTGTTGTTTTCCTTTTCTAATAACTCGACTCGTGAAATTTACAAGCCAAAGTTTACGTATATGTATGTATGTGTATGCGTGTATATAAATTATGTATGCACGTATGTAGATCAACGAAGTATATTGCAAAGTTTCTATTTCTAAAGTACACATATACACGTGCATAAATAAGTACAATAATGCATAATTTGTACAATAAATAAGTAATATTCAATTATTTACGTATATGAAAAATATTCTGCATTAATTAAAGTATAATAATATATGTGAAGTATATATAATAGTAATAATAAGAAAAAGAAAAGAAAGAAAGACCGAATTTGACCGAATTTGACCGAATTTCTTACTCCATTTCCCAATGATTAGTGTGAATAGATTATACGAATCGTTGACTATAAATGCATACACGTACACATAAATAAATTCATGCACATACGTATATAGAAAAGGTTTACACAATAAGAAAAATCCTTGGTGGAAGAAAAATTAGTGAAATTTCTGCTCGAACTAGCAATGTTTCGTTCTGAATCTTTTCCTAGGATGACACGTAGACAATCAGGAAGGTAGAGAAGCAGACAGGTAGAAATGGTTTTGTTATATTCTCAAGGACGTGATCGAAATTCGATCATGTCTGCCAATTCGTATGGGAATCGGTAAAACGATTAGGGAACCCGTACCTGAACTTCTCGTGGATATTTGCGGTTAGTTTGAAAGTTCCCATACATTTCCTACTGCTTTCTAATGGAAACTACAAAAAGGAATATGTATAAACGTTATATATATACGTATATGCATTTATATAAGTATATATGTACGTGTATACGTGGATATAAAGTTTTGATTTTGAAGAAAATTTATTTTTAAGAAAAAAAATAGAGAAAGATTTTGATCGAAACAAAATAACAATTGTTTTCATTTTAGACTCATATAACTCGTAAATTCATCTAAGTATTGTATTTTTATTATAATATATATTGTACGTAAGAGTATATGTGTATGCTGATAATTATTAAAGTTGTATGTTACAATTATTTATTTTTTGTATGTAAAAATACGATAAACCTAATTTGAATTATATTCTTAAGCTTTTGATTTAGAATGTGTGATTATTAAATAAATAAATAAATAAATAAATAAAAATATATTGGGTTGTTATGTATTTAATATAATTATGTATTTAATATAAAATTTATAGTTGCATAATATGCATCTAAATGATAATGAAATTTGGAACAAACAAACTTTAACAAGTTTTCAAAGTAATACGTGATTATTTCGGCAGGAATTAAGAAGACAATGTCAAGATTTTGCAACTGCATTGCTCGACCATACGAGAAGTTCATACGAATTGGAAGTTCTTTTAAATCACGATCCAAAGGGACCAGCATTCGAGCACGGCGAGAGAATGCACTTGAATCGTTTGAAATTGGCCATAAAACTTCGACAAAAGAAGGTAATTTTCTTGTTGTATTATCTGCTATTTCATTTTTAATTGACTCATTATTTCTCCTACCTATCTCCCCCCCCCTCTTCCCTCCCCACTACCCCCGCCCAACTCTTTCTCTTTCTTTTGCATCAATTCATTAAAAGTACCCTTTGATCGATGAAAACAAAAACAAAAAGAAAGAGAAAGAGAGAGAGAGAAAAAAAATGGTTTCCCCTTTTTAGTAGAATAACAAACAAGGTATTATTAATTATGTTAATTGGTGTTTCGATGTTACGTGTTTGTAAATAAAAAAAAGAAATAGAAAAAGAAAAAAATACGATACCCTTAGGACAATTTCCCCGTTCGTTTTCTTCGGAACTTTCCAGTTCGTGGCGCATCCAAATGTTCAACAACTACTCGCATCGATTTGGTACGAGGGTCTTCCCGGTTTCCGTAGGAAAAACATGCTCCTACAAGCTATGGAAATCGTCAGGATCGGCTTACTATTTCCTCTATTCAGCGTGGCATACATCATAGCACCTCACAGCACCATTGGTCAAACTATGAGGAAACCATTCATCAAGTTCATCTGTCACTCGGCATCATACTTCACTTTTCTATGTACGTATATTATAATGCTAAATGTTTTTTCCTTTTTATTCTGGTTTTTTCTTCCCCAACACCATCCAAACTTTTTTATACACGGTATCCTTTCAATAGAAGTGTGTGTGTGCTTCTTTGAAACTCTTACACAGACACTTTTTTTTACGTATCTACACAGATACTATCTTATTATCATGAAATATTATATCTAGAATGAGAAAACGTAAAGGGGGTGAAGAAAAGAATTTGTTTATACAGTTAACTCAACAACTAACTACCCACCAACCTCCACCTATTTCATACACGTGGTGGGATTTAATAAAGTTTACTTTATTACATTCTTTTTTTGGTTAATATTCTTCACGATTTATCGTATCTTTCAAACAATATCGATCTCGATGGAAGAGATTTCTTCTTCTTCTTCTTCTTTTTAATGTAAACTTTTTCTTCTCTATTTTTCTTTACCTTTCATCGAGTTTTCATCAATGTTTATTACAACAATAATACTCAAGTCTACGTATCCGAGCTTTGTAACTCGTTTCGACGAAAGAATGAAAAAGATTGAAAATATTTGACCTAACAACGTGCTTCTAAAGTAAAATACAAATTTTGCAAAGAAAATTGATGGGAACGCAAGGGGTGTGTACGCGAATCCAAGTGGGTTGTAAACTTTTTCAACGAATTTTGCCACGATTAAGTTTCTTCTCTTAAAATGTATATTTTAAACAAGGAAATTGTTGATTTATTTGTTCGCAGTTATGTTAATTCTAGCCAGTCAGAGGATAGAAAGTGTGATAGGTAATTGGATGGGACATAGTGTTATTGAAAATGATACGGCTCCAACTAAAAGGGGTGCTGCACCGAGCATCGTTGAATGGTAAACAATTAATTTTCTATTTGTATTTTCAATACATTTTCTTACATTTTTTTTTTTTTGTTTCGATCGAAAGTGAATTGAAGTTTTAATATAAAAAAAGAAATCACATTTTATAGGAATTTTCGTTAATAATAATAGGTTCATACTAGCATGGGTCTCCGGATTGATTTGGTCAGAGGTTAAACAACTTTGGGATGTTGGTTTGAAGGAATATGCCAAAGATATGTGGAACGTGATCGATTTTGTGACGAATTCTTTGTACGTTGCCACGGTGGCCCTTAGGGTCGTCGCATATTACAGGGTACAAAAAGAAAATGTAGAATTGCAACGAGAACAGTGGGACACATGGGATCCAATGCTAATATCCGAAGGCTTATTTTCGGCTGCCAATATTTTTAGGTAACCTTTTATATTTCGTTAATTCATTCTTTTTTCTTTTCTTTTATTTTATTTATATTAGAATTTCTTTTTTTTTTGTATTTTTTGTTAATTCGTTCGCGTAAAAAATTAATTTAGAAATATCTGATGATAATATTTTAAACTTGTCGAAAAATTGGTTCCGTACAATTTTTTCATTTATCATTAAAAAAAATATTATTTATTTTATAATATATATTTGGGGTGGAGTAATTCTAATATTATTTCACAGTCTAATAATTGAATATTTATCTCGAATAAATTGTATATGCATATTTGGTATAGATGTAGATTGATAAAAAAAAAAGGTGTGTTAATGCATTCGTATTTATTCTACCTTGCAGTTCTTTAAAACTCGTCTACATATTTTCCGTAAATCCCCATCTCGGACCACTTCAAGTTTCATTATCAAGAATGGTTATGGATATCATGAAATTCTTCTTTCTCTACGTCCTAGTATTGTTTGCTTTTTCTTGCGGTGAGTATAAAACATATGGTTAATTTTTTCAAGGAACGTCGAAAGATATCTATGATATATTTAGATATTATATTATCTTAGTATCTTTACGCACATACACACACTCATAGATATTCGTTGTATTGGGAACTGACCACTATACCAAAAAAGAAATCAATTTTAATGTGCAACAGAATAAATGATTAAACAACGCTTAATATTTATTACAATAAAATAAAATAAGCAAATATAAAAATATTTATAAATTTGTCAAATATATAATACGATAATGATAAAATTATTTTTGCATTAGAAAAAAAAAACAAAAAAATAATAAAAGTCGATTTTATTGTGTTGCAAATTATCTTGCGTCAAAATAATTCACGCAATTGCTAAGCTTGATGATGGTTTCATGTCGAAAATATATTTGAAAAATTGGAAAAAGAAATTGATAAACTAAAAGCTTGACAATGCGTTTTAAATTTTCAGATCAGTTCTCAATTACTTTCATACACTTTTACAAAATGTTCTCTTTCTCTTTTTATTCGTTATTATTTGAATAGGTTTGAATCAACTTTTATGGTATTATGCCGATATGGAAAAGAAAAGATGTCCTTCAGCAATGCCGCATTCGTTAAATGCAAACGTAACCACAGATTCAAACGCTTGCATCGTTTGGCGTAGATTCGCCAAGTACGTATTAAAATATAATTCATTTGAATGAAAGATTTGAAGTACTATTTCATTAATTAAGAACTTGTGGAAAATGCTGGCAGTTTATTCGAGACAACTCAAACGTTATTCTGGGCTGTTTTCGGATTGGTAGATCTCGAAAGTTTCGAATTGGATGGTATTAAAGTGTTTACGAGATTCTGGGGTATGTTAATGTTCGGCACTTATTCTGTAATCAATATCGTCGTACTTCTAAATCTTCTAATCGCCATGATGAATCATTCCTATCAATTAATATCCGTAAGTATAACACAAATATTTCATGTTCTTTCATATTTTTTTATAAATATGATAACTCGTTAAAATTCTGTTCGGCCCCCCCCCCCACAAAAGATTAACATAAAATAAACAATTTTGAAATTGAACAGTTGTTTGTGCAATGTGGGGGAGGGGGCCCCATATATGAGAAGTTCCACAACTTAATGAAAAATGAAAAATTAGATATTAAACATAATATTGATTAAATGAATAATATTAAGATAATTTTTGTGAAACGCACAAATCGTGTTAGGAACGGGCCGATGTCGAATGGAAATTCGCAAGGAGTAAACTTTGGATAAGTTATTTCGAAGAAGGTGGAACAGTACCACCCCCATTCAATATCATTCCAACACCAAAGAGCGCTTGGTACGTTGGCCTATGGATTTATCGGAAACTCTGCGGTCATAGTAGAGCCGCCAAAAAGGAACACATGAGAACAATAAGGGTAAAAATTTGTACTATATACGATATCGTCGTAGGATCTTCTCTTCAAAGGGAATCGTCAAGCAATGATGTTATCGAGGTAACAAAACAATTGATTTGGAACCGATTCCTCATCGACGTGAAACACTTTTATTTCAGAAAAAAGCTAAACAAGCATCCCAACGTGATTTTCGTTATCAAAGTATAATGAGAAATTTGGTCAGACGATACGTCACGGTTGAACAAAGAAAAGCTGAAAACGAAGGTGTCACCGAGGACGATGTTAATGAGATAAAACAGGACATAAGTGCGTTTCGTTGCGAAATTATCGAAATATTGAAAAATTCTGGCATGAACACATCTACGGCGAGTGGTACTGGAACTGGTGAGAGAAATTTGTAGTCCTTAGGGAAAAAGATATATAGTTTAATTCCTTGTATTATATTTTTCAGTGTGTGTATGTTTGTTTTTTTTTCTTGATTTATATCCCATCAAATATTACGTTTGTAAGTTTGGGTGTTAAGTTTGAGAGTGTTCTCGTTGTTTCACGATTCGATTAGTTAGTTCCTTTTTTGAGCACGTTCCACTTTTTCTTTTCTGTTTTCCCCGATACAGACGGTAGCCTTAAAGAGCTGTCCATAGGTGCGGGAGGTAAGAAGAATCGGCAAAAGGAACGACGCTTGATGAAAGGATTTAATATAGCACCACAACCTGGTAGCAGTTCTACTTTGTTAGAACCTGTAGCAGAATTGATAGCATCTTGGAAAGAAGAACAACAAGAAAATTCTCATCACGAGATATACGGTTCTACGAGAAGTGAAATATTTGGTTTGGGTACGATGCCGAAAAAAAGTTTGCATCATAGTAACGCCTGCAGGCAAAGTCGTGGTGTTCGAAGTAGCTCGAAAAAGAAACGTTGGGATACATTGATCGAAGCTGCGAAAGCTCATAAAGTTTCGAAAAAATTTATCGGTAAGATATTTTTATTTGTTTTTTTTTTTTTTTTTTAAATATAATATATTTCATATTCAATTAATTGTTTTTCTAGTCTCCCAAAAATAAAATTATTAATAAATAAGTATCTTAGGGAATTTGGACATTCAAAAGATATTATAGAATAAAAATAATAATAAATAAAAAAGACGCTGAACTTTAGAGATTAAGTTGCTGAATAATCAAAACTCAGTTCTAGTTCTTTTCAATGTCCCAATTTTCTAAGATACCAAATTATTAATATTTCATATCGTTCGAATAAAAATTAAACATCGAATTTATAATTTGTTCATTAGGTAGATCTCGTTCAGAGGATTCCGTTTATTCACCCGGATCGGAAGATGGTGGTTCGAGATCAGAAGGTTCAACCGATTCAAAATCATCCTTGGAAATTCAACGAAGTCACGAGGTTCATAGACGCCATGCTCATCACAGTCATCATTCCCATCATCCATCGGAAACTCATCATGGTTTTAGTCGTATGGCTATAGTTTCCGCTTTAACTAAAAAACGTAAAAAATTTTCTGCATCGAGAGTATCGACTCCAACTATGACGAGTACCAATTCGAATACAATCGAAAGTACAACGCAACCCATAGCTTCGATTCTTTTATCAAAAGTATCGAAAAAACAATTGCAACGAGCTAGCAGCGTACCAACCAGAGCTCCGGAACTTGGTTCGCAAACGATACCCCCAAGACGACACGAAGTTACCCAAAGTCAACAACCAAGTTTGGATACTGCCGAAATTACCACTGTTACCGAACACCAAAGTTTGTTCTTTTCAATTCTTCGGAATAATATTCGAATAATCTCTCGTATTATTTTCATTACAAACAAAATTTCACGAACTTATTCTAGAATTCGTGCAAAAGAAACAAATACATTACTAATAAACAGGTATCTTAGGGACTTTGAACATTCAAAAGAACTAGAATTAATTCAATTAAGTTTGTTTTAATGTCCAAATTCCCTAAGATATCTATTTATTAATAATTTTATTTTTGAACGAGAGAGAAACAACTAATCAAATAAATTACTAGTAAAAACAATCGCGTTAGAAAATAATACTTGATTTTACCGAAAAATTGATACTGATTTTGTCGAAAAAAAATGTATACACTATACTGATATGTATGATACAATATCTTTAGTATGAATTGGTCCTTCATAAGCAGCTTTTGCATACCTATATAGATCGTTAAAAAATAATGTTCTATTTTTACGTATAATCAATCATGTTTCCAAAATCCGAAATAGAATATTTTTTTAACCGAGTAAGAACTTGAATTAATTTCATTTGAAATGACGAGTGATCGTTCGAATATTATAATATAACAAATTACGCGCAAATTGATTATTTTTTTAGCAAAAGGATAAATTTGTTTTGTTAGGGGTGGTCAGTGCAGTCCCATTAACACCATCGACTACGGAAGAAAGTATGATTGCAAGCGGAGCAATTTCAATGACGGTCAAAACAAATGGTTCGGCTACGCAACTTCAACGACTTCCTGGAATCGAACCAATTTCTGGGCATGACGTATCAGCTGGTTGGCTCTGAGTACGGCCCCGTCATCGAACAGATCGATGACGAGCCTCGGCGATTAAAAGATCAACGCGAGAACAACCCAATTCGGAATTGAATATTTTCGAATACGACGAAAATTCGAACGATTAATGAAGAATTCGAATAATTATTCATTTCCAAAGATTTTTTTTTATTTCTTTGAAGTTCGATAAAATATATCGAATAAAAAAAGAAAAGAAAAAAAAACAAGAATGAAAAGTGAAATGATGATGAAGGGAATTAATAGAAAACACAATAATGAACGAACGAATAAAATAATTAACAATAACAATAATTATTACCAAACCAAACAAACCAACAAATCGCAATCGGCAGACGCACACAATGATGCCTTTTTTTGTTTTTATTAATAATAAATAATCTTGCCAATTATTTATTGTGACGTCGGAGGAAACGCGCGTTTAAAAATAAAACTTTCGACGATACGAAATTTAAGATTAAACGATGAACGTTTATACGAACAAAAGTAAAAGTAAAAAACAAGAAAAAAAAAAAATGGACAAATAGAAACGATAAGAAGAAGAAGAAGAAAAAAAATGATGGTGTCGGTATGTCGTCGACCCCTTCGGATAAAAAAATCCCTATATTCCCTTCGAACGAAAGTCAAACTTTCGTTAAAAATGTGACGAACTTAACTAATCGACTTTTTTTTTGTACCAATGACCACTCGCGAATTTAATTAATCTGTGAAAATGTTTACAGTGTTCGCGTGGAAAATAGTGTGATAGTGAATTGTTGATAGCGTTGTTATAACTAATTACTGTTACCCGTGCCTAACACTGCATCGACCAACAATCATATTATTTGTTTCTTTTTTTATATTTAAATTTTATCATACTTCGCCAGTAATTAATTTATCGTAATTTATCTTTTTTCTTTTGGTGATGGGTAAAAATCAAATTAAAAATTTGTATTTAAAGTGAATCGAATATTTGAAATGAATGATATAAAGATAAAATCAAATTCTTTTTTTAATTCGATTAATAAGTAAGAATGAAAAATAACAAATCTAAAAATGAAATAAAATAATTTTATTTGCAATTTATTTAAATTATTAATTTTTTTTTTTTTATTAAGTTTGTTTAGTATTTTTTAATAGAAAGAAAATATTGTATATATTAATCCATCAAGATAATAATTACCGAAATCTTTTCATTTACTTCTCGCAAAGATTCTTTTTTTACAATTACAAAATTTAAAAGAAAAGAAACAAAAAAAAAAAAAAGAACAATCGAGTTTACCATTACTGTTATAAAATATTTCGTAATACAAAATTCTCAAATCACTTAGCTGATAAAAAAATAAGATGATCATCGGTATATTTAGAAAACCGTCCGAATTAATCCGAAAGAATTGTTTTTTCACGAGTTGTCAGAGGTACAAATAAATAACAAAAATCATTGGATACGAATTCGAAATATCGATTTAGTCGAATCGCATCATCTTTCAGATGTGTGCGAAATTAACAAAAAAAAAAAGTCAAACTTTACTATTACAACAACTATTACTACTACTACTACTACTACAACTACTAATATTACTATTACTATTACTACTATTATTACTACTACTACTGCCAGAATGGAAGTGGCACGTGGCTCGGCGCGAATTAGTCTAGTCAACACTAGTCAGAAACGAGAATCGTAAATATGTTTTAATTTAACTTGCTAATATAGTATTGCATTAAGTATAGTCAGAAACGTAACGAAGAAAAATAAAAATAAGAAGAAGAAGAAGAAGGATCAGAATTATTCATTTTAGAAATATTATATCATTTTTCAGCCTTTACGATGGCATACGTGTGTACCTCGAATTTATAATGATCGCTTAAAAAAAAGAAAAAGAAAAAAGTAAAAAAGTAAAAAAAAAAAAAAAAAAAAAAGAATAATCGAAAATTTTATAACTCCTCGATCTTCCATCTTTTCGATTGCACGCGCCTAATCGTTTTTAATATTTCATTCGATAACGATGCAAGAAATAAAATAAACAAATTATATAAGATGAAAAGAATAAGAATAAAAAATAAAAAATAATAGAGACAATGATGGGAAGAAATATTATATCGAAAAAAAATTCATATGTACCACACACACACACACACACACACACACACATACATATTTTCGTTTTAATATCATATTATATTTAAAACGCGTTAAATGAGAATTACTTTTATTAAACTGATTTGTGAAAGATAAAGAAAAAGGAAAATTGTAATTAACGAGTTAAAATTCTATAATTATTATTATATTTACGAATCTAGTCTATATAATTGTATCCGGATGTTGTTATTATTATCATCCAAAAAAAAACGAACGACACGTTTCAAACGATAACAGACTTTTTGATATTTCAAGAAAATAAAGAAATTCAATCAAGAATTTCTTTTCTATTATATATATATATATATACGTATCATTCATTAAAAAAATTTCAATCGCGTTAAAAATTATAATCCAATCCAACCAAACCCCATACCCTCCCACCAACCCTTATTCCCATCCAATAAGATTGTTATTAAGATCGTGTAATAGGTGCAAAAGTGTCTGTAACGTGTGTGCAATTTAGTAACAATTGTAGCTTGTAATAGTCAATTTTTTATTTTTAAACATTATTATAAACAAGGAAACGAATTTTTAAATCATGCGATCTCTCGTATTTTTCTTTTCTTTTTTTTTTTAATAATGTGTACGTGTGTATATAATATACTTACGTATATATATATATATATAAATTACATGTCCTTAGATTCTACAAAAAAAATCGTTCGATCGAGTGTACATTTTTTGATAAATAATTGACATCATTACAAAATATTAACGCATGTACGCGCATATTAATTATAATATCAATAAATAAAATAATAATGTGAGGAGATCGTATAAAAAAAAAAAAAAAAGAAACAAGTTAATTGTTATTACAACTTATATTACGTGGATATTTTTGTGAAACATACAAGCAAACAAAAAAAAAAGAAAATTAACACAGGCGTGTAATTTATATAAAAACGACGAATACTCAAAATGATMATTTTTATAGTCAAATGTTATTTTCATTATTAAGAAAATAATCTGAATTGTTATCAATCTTAATATCATATTCTCCTAATTTTATTTTTTTATTATTATAATTATTATTACATTAAATTCGAACAAAAATAAATAATAATTTTTTGTTAATCGACTTGTTGTACGTGGATAATTTTAATTTTCAATTTTTTTGTTTTTAATCTGTTTAATAATTAATTAAAAAAAAACAAGAAATAGAGATGTGTGTGTTTTAATTTACCATCTGTTGAGATTAAAGTTGTTGATTGTCGGTAAATTATCATAAATGGATGATTTATTATTAATGATCGAAACTTTGAACAAAATTAAGAGATTATGATTAGGATTAGAGAATTGATTTTTTTTTTTTGTATAATTATTATTGTAAAAAAAATTGTTTATCGAAATACGGGAAAAAAAGATAATGCAAAGTTACGACCAAAGAGCGTAGCATAGAAAAACGATACTAGTAGTGGCCTAAAAATAAAAATTCTCTTTACCATACCATAGATATTTTACGTGTATTCTACGTAAAAATATGATAAGTATTAATTATTGAATTAATCACAGAACTGTTACAGGACCACAAAAGGAGATATCATTGATTCTAAAAAACAAAAACAACAGAAACTATACAAAAAAAATTAACGTTTAAAAGCACAATCCCATATTTAAAATATAATTTTACCCCCCCGTATAACTTTATTTCAATTTAGTTTATAATCTCCTTTCTGGTCTGCACAGATCTGAAAATAGAATTACATCATTTAAATGTACTATATATATATAGTTAAATGAGATTATTATCATAAATGTGAAACGTAGATATCGAAATGGGAAAAAAACCAGAACAAAACGAAAGAAAAAGAAAAAAAGAAGAAAAAAAATAACAGAATTATAATGAACGTTGTTAGTTCGTGAAAAAAAAAGCTTTACAATTTATAAAGCAAGACAAATTTAAAAAAGCAAACGCACAGTGTCACGAGTATCATGTGCTAACAGTTGATAAAATATGCAATGAAAACTAAATTATTATAAAATGGAACCAACGTTTTATTATTAGATTTATTTAGAAGGAATACGGGAGAGATATATACAAGAACATAATAATAATAATAATAATGATAATGATAATGATAATAATAATAATTTAAAGGAATCATTTTTCAGTACTAGTCCAAACGAAATGCATAGTCCGATTTTCTAACGATTATTATTATCGATAGGATGATAAGTTGATGGGGCGTCTTTTATATATGGGAAAGGGAGTTTATTGAAAATTTTACATTTTATAGGATGTACATATTAATCTTGGAAGTATACCCCCTCCTCTCCAATCCCATCAATACTCTCAATCCCACCACCATATTCATGAGAAATGTAATTTATAGGAACAATGATTGAATAAGCGTGAGACTTATTCGCTTTGTGCATTTTTTTTAAACACAACTCGTAATTATTTAATATTGCTTTTAAAAACACATGTGCGAACTCTCACCGTATGGGAAATATCGATGATGAAAAAGGAAAAAAATAATATGTTAAAAGGCGTCTCATCGAACTACGAAAGCAAATAAAAGAATTTTAGAAGTCAACTCTCGGAAACATCATTTTTAAATGTTCATCAAAAGAATATAATTAATTTTATGTATCATTTATTTTTTTTTTTTCATTGCGTTATCGGATAATTTAATATCATTGTCAATACATACCGATGTTTATGTATTTTTATGCGATGAATAAAAAAAAACAAAGTCATTTTAAATGATAGGAAAATGTTCCAAAATTAACAATTGATTTACAAGTAGAATTAGAAAGTTTTGTGTCAATCAATTCATCCTGTGTTTTAATATATTTCATTATTATTAACAAAACAATTACAAAAGATAATAATTAATATCTGATGGACAATATGAATTACAGAATGTATTGTTGGATTATATAATATTGATATATCATTTTCGAACGTATCTCGATGGAAAGTAGAAGGATCGATCAACCAATACGAATATGACCACTAATAAAATATCGTTTATTCTGATACATCAGAGTGTTGTATACCTGTCATGTTGTCAAAAAAAAGAAAAAAGAAAAAGATAAAAAAAAAAAAAAATACGCACGACTATCTTTTTTCATTTCATCGTGCATTACTTAAACATTTGTAAAAATATTCGATCTCAGACTTAAGATATTGTGTAATCATTATTTTGCTTTAATAATCTTTACTTATCTTTCCTATCAAAATTCATCTCTTATCATTTTAATTGCATGGTGCCAATTGACATCTAGATCGTTTTTGCAATTTTTTCGGACATGCTCGGCCACCGTTCTCAGCTTTGCGCTATTAAAAAAAAAAATATAATAATTTTTATTTAATTTATTAATTGTACCGATATAATTATGACAGTGAACTAAGTTACAAAAATTCGAATAAATTATTCTACATTCA